ATGACAAGGTCTTCAAAGTATCCGGGACAAAAAATATTTTTGGACTTCAGGCGCGCTTGTATTTTTTTGGTAAATTTACAAAAGCTTTAGTGGAGATTTTTTTTCAAAATTTTGCCTTGCAGGAACTTTTTTTTCAAAATCTTAATTATTTTAATGGATCGCCCCTAAGTAAGTGAAAGCTTGACTCCGTAGTCGATTGCTTTATGCGCCGCTATTGCTGTTGTTTTAGTGGTGCCAGTGGTATCAATTAGTGGTTGAATCAAAATAAAACAACATTTTCCATTTTAGCGCCACATCTTGGAAAGTACACGGTTGTAAAATAAGTTAAATTATATACTGCAAAGTGCGTAGGAAACATTCGCCCTTCCTCGTATTAAAGGTGAAGGTCAAATTGCTAAAATGTCCTTATATCTACGATGTTAAATTTATCTTATTTCACAACTGTTTCTTTAAGACTGATTTACACGGCACGATTGTCTCGTACGATTTGTAGTATACGACTTGAATCGCGCATTGTAAATGCCCCTACGACTTGTCTACAACAGTCGTACGCAACCTACGACTTGTAGTAGGTTTTTGAACCACTGCTTAAAATCCTACGACTTGTAGTAGGAAAATCGTATACAACAAGTCGCGCGCGACAAATCGTGGCCGTGTAAATCAGCCTTTAGAAACATCGACGCAGCTCACACTAATTTACTTGGGACAAAATAACCGCTTCACAATACCAACCAGCAAGAAACAAGTGTATTATATAATTTTCTCGACAACAAAAATACGATCAAAGTCTCTAATATTCAGCATAACCTCTGCTATCATCTGTTCAAGAAACGAGGTACAAAAATTACGTTAGATTGAATATCGTACGTTTTAGTTTGTTCTGTTTCAGTCGAAAGCATCACAAAATGTCCGATAACATGCAATCATCCACTATCTACGGTTTTGGAATAAGGCTTTGAATTGCCCAGTTATTTTCTACGGCTTTTTCACCTATCTGGGTACGAGGAAGCGGAGAGGCTAAATCACAAAATTTTACCATAAACTCAACCTTAGGCAAACAAAATGACTTTGCAACTTGTTTTCCACAATGCTTTCAATAATCAATAGTGTCTAGATTAGCTGAACTAGGTTTACAATCAATGGATTTTGGCGGTGTTGTAGACGCTTTTTGTGGCTAGTGCCTCGGAACGAGGCTCAAGCCACTATGCTATCGCCTGGAGTGCGTGTGAATGTAATTCGGGATAACTACTCGATTTTCCGCCGACTCATTTTCGTTATTCTTCGTGAACCTTTCGTGTGTAAGTTGGGACTCCTGTGTTTTATCATATTGGGCTTCCTGTGTAATGACGTCACTAATATTGTACCACCCCTCCCTCACCTGTACCTACAGGCCCTGAACCACCCCTCCCTTGCAAAGGTTTTGTCCGCTCGTATACCCGTTGATGTCCCGTT